GAACACCTCTGCTGCAAGACAGATCAGATCRTAGCTATATTCCCATGCCACTCAAGCAGGCCAAAAATGCTGAAACAGGAGTTACAAGATACTTTATATAAGAAGTAAAGAAGGTAAATAATCTTTTAATGACAAACTCGCTAGTCAGCATACACAAGCTCTTAAAATCAATTAACTACTGCCAATCTACTGTGTTCCTTGATACTTATTGAAAAAACAATATATTCACTYATCTTTCAAGCTATTGAAACACTTCAGTTATTAAATATGAATGACCAGGATCAGCTGCAAACTCTTCRTCTTACAGTCACATTGACTGACTTTATAGGTTGGCACAAAAAGTTATTTCTCCTTAAAAGCAAAGTGGCAAAGTGGGACAATGATTGCTCCTGGCCAGAAATGAGGGTAGGAAGGGAATCCATATTTTTTTATCAGTGACCATCTTTTGTGCTTTTCCATAACTTCAGTTCTAACAGCTGTTTGTTTTTAGAGTAGTGGGAGTATACAACCTATGGAATTCCTAGAAGTATATTCAAATGAAGGTTCATAGCAGATTTTCCAAAAAAAAAGTTGAAGACAAATGTCAAGATTAGAAAATACCAGATTAGAAAATATCACTTATATTGAACAAACAAGGTTTACAAACACTCATGGGTATCAAATAGCACAAAAGCAGTTTTACAGGAAGTGTATAACCTTAATTCTCTGTCATCTTCATCCTTGGTCTACAATTAGACCAGAAGGCACACAAAATACAACATTTTGCAGGGGGAAACTATATTCAAGTCATGGATACGGAGCTTGTTAATTCTCACTTACCCTAAGATCAGCCTTCAGCTACTCTAGGAAGTCTAAACAGAAATCAGAGACAGTGCAAATTATATGTAAAACAGACTTGTGGAAAATAGGAACCAGGTCCCAAATGTGTAACAGCTGTGTCTTCCCTTAGCAAGTCAGTGTAGCAAGTCATAATGCATGCGGTATTTAGATAAAATGTCACTGACCTGAATCTCCCTCTCATGCCAAAACCAAGTTTTGTTTGCTGCTTGCTCGCTTGTTTGTTTGTTTTTTACATACAGGGTTACTTACTGAATGTAGCACAAAAACCTCATAGTTTCCCCTTGGGCTTKGGATATTCTACTTTCTGTAATCAACAATCCACTAGTTAGCTGATAAATTAGTGTGCTTTTCACAGAGGAGGAATACTCATGTTACAGCCAGTAATGCAAAGCAAATAAAAAAGAAAGGGATTCGCAAAACACAAAATAAAATAATGAGAGATGAGCCATGAAATAAGGACAGATGAGCCATTAGGCAAGACAAACAATTAACAGGGAACACTTTCAAATGCATCAGGTTTCATATAACATTTAAGAAGTTAAACCCCATGCTGCAAGGTGACAAAGACCAGTTTTGTCCCCTTCTGTTCCCATACATCAATAGGGCTTATGCAAAGATGAAGAATAAACTGTAACTGGCTAGTAATTTTTTAATGACTTAACTATCCATACTACATTCTAGATCATATTCATACTGGGCTTTGATGAAAATATTCAMGTGAGAAAGAATTTCTTGCATGTTAAAGACTTGTAAAATCAATCCTATACAATTACTCTTCAGTTAATTTCAATGGGCAAATGTGTGAAGTAAAACACCAAAACACAGAAAATGGAAAATCTGAGTGACATTTATTGACAATTTCACTGCAAGATATTTAATATACTCTTCTATGTCCCATGAATAGTGAAAAATGATTGAGTCAGTTTCAAATATCTTTAGGCAGAAACAGGCTCTCCATTTCTCCAAGATATTCCATTTATTTCTGTCCTCACTCATTCCATAWTTATAGTAGCTCATCTGCACTTGAAATCCATATTTATTTAGGATTTAGTCCAAGTGAGTTTCATCAGTATAAAACAAGAGTGCAAAAAGAACCAGGCTTGTTAATTCGACACAACTATAAATGTAGGAGCTCACCAATCAAACCTTSGAGCGAAAAAGATTAAAACTATGGCTTCATTTGATTCATAGTGAGTCCAAAGTACTATTTTCTCAGTTGCTGGTTTTTCAGTTGTACTGCAAACAACATCACGCCACAGGCAGAGCAAACAAGGCCTTGACTCTGTTAATTCCGCATTCAATATCCCACTTCAGCTAGGTATGGACTTGTATCTGTACTGCATGCAGGTACCTAGGCAATCACACTGAAGTCAACCTCTGTAGGCTGCACTCGTTGCTGATGCCATTGTTTGTCGAGGACTTTCACCAAACTCCTCAGTTTGGTTAAGGAATTGCTCTAAGATGTACAATCCACACAATTCCCCTTTCCGATTCACAGAACTGTTTCTTACCTYGCATCACTTGCCCAACTTGTGAACACTTCTTGTCTTAATCACATTTTAAAAACTTCTTAATGAGAACACAGAAAAATGGAGCCAAATCCTGCATTAGGTGTCCTACCTAGAAGACATTAACTGRTGCCTGAGATGAAGAGCAAACCTGCACTTGCTAAGATTAAAAATGAACAAACAAAAAGCCCACGTACAGAAATGTACCTCCACTACACTGCATTGTGCAGCAGTATTGCAGATTTTGTTTCATGTCATACAAATATCTCGTTGTTYCCTATTTATCATCATGGATACTGTGAAATATCTGCTGTTCACTGTGCTCTGCCAGTGTCCCACTTTGCTGTAAATTAAGCCAAGGGCTTTCACAGATGTCAAAAAGAGCATGACTTATCTCTAGGACTTATTCCAAAGTTGCACTGCTTGTCTTAATTCAAGAAACTTTGGATCAGACCTCGAAGGGATCTTACAAGATCAGTAAGCGGCAAGACACTCTCCCATCTTCCAAAAACAAACTTGAACATTTATCTCACATTCCTAATCTTTTCTGTGAAAGGGATTAAAAAGCAATCTGTCCCTGCCAACAGCTTAGGTGCTATGTCGTATCCAAGTGCCTGAACTGGATGCGCAGAACACCTCGGTACATTGCCCTCTATTCATCTATTTCTGTAGAAGCTGGAAAGAGAGCAAAACATTACAGTTCTGGGCTTCATGGTCGTATTATGAGCAGTTTTATTGCTACAGAAGAAAGAAGATTCTGCCTCTTGTTTCAGGGTGCTCTACCAATTTGCTGCATAATGGAACAAAAGAAATACTGAAACGAAGCAAACACTTTAGATGAGAAACTCACCACAGACCCTAACGTGCTCTGTGATGGCACCAAAGTGTCTGAAAGTAGATCAGACTCATTCTCAATATATTTGGCTTTATCCGAAACTCTGCTTGTTTGCTTATATTTCAATGTCTGAAAGTTATGCAACAGTTTTTGCTCTCCTTTATGCTACGCATCCTTTATGTTATGCAACCATGTTACTGCCCTGCGATGCCATGAGCATAATTTTGGCCCATAATTGTATTACTACATGAGGGGACACTGCATTATGTGAAAATGAGTGCATATAATATTGTCACTTTCTACTGCTATGATCACAGAAATTACATGAAATGGCAATTTAAGTAACAAAAAAATAGCTATCCATTGCAACATGGAATTCCTGGTAGCAAGAAAGCATAGACCTGTAACATTCAATCAAACCAGGACAGGAGGGAAAATGGAAATAAAAAGGAACAAAGGGAATATTTAGAAATCTTATGAAGAGAAAGAAACAACCACCTTAATTTTCAACATCTGAAAAAAGAAAAAAAACTATCCTGAGCAGCCAAAGAGCGATTTTCTTAGAAGTTCAGAGTTGGCTTAACTTTTTTACAGTAAATCCACGATGGCAGCTGGGTTGCAGGAGGGTTTGCAGGGGCACGGATGGATGTTAGTTTGTACCAGGGGATCACCGTGTGGAACACGGCCTCTCTGAACCCCTTCTGGCACAACGTGATGCCCATCTGCTTCCCCTCTGCTCCTTCTCCCGGAGAGGAACATATGGCCCAGAATATGCTGCTCAGAAACAAAAAAAMACCCAAAATACGCATTCAGATAGTTTTCTAAAATATTCTGAATATCCTCCTCTATTTTGCCTGTCAGCTTTTACTCCACTTCTGAACCTAATATTTTGGTACTATAAATAAAATTCTGGCAAAAGTCAGTCTTTGCATAATCAGTTTTGCACTCCACAGTGAAAAACACAAATAAAAAAAGCAGTGTATTTTGTAACATCTCAATACTAAGAAATTGTTACAGTAAGAAAAGTTCTTAACAGGATTTCTTTTTTTTGCCTAGAACTTCCTTATAAATTCCGCTATTGTATACTGATACTTACCTTAGTTCTTAGAAAGTTGTCATCCAATAAAAAAAATTAATGGCAGAAGAAAACAAAGCCACATAAAGTTAAGCTTAACATGATCATCAGAATACTGAACACTTTTACTGGGAAAAACTTTTTTTCTTCATACTTTTATGTATGCACTTTTATACAGAGCACTAATTCATGATTGCAAAAGCATATTGTAAGAGAGAACATATTGCAATCCCTGACCAGGGTAAAACCATGACAGGAAGCAGCTGTTGACAACATCTGAGAGCTAATGCAGCAAAGAGACAAGTGATATCACACCTTTGCCATGCCTGTAATAGAACAAGAATCAATACTGATACTCTAAAACAGGCAGGGACTTAGTAGAACATTTCTCATCACCAGATGCCTGTYTAATATAGAAGTAAGTATTTTATAGCTGTATTTTTGTCAAAAAGTTAAATATAAAGTCCATTAACAATCACACAGATACATGTTTCCAATTATACACAACAAATCTGAAACATAGCGCTTGCCTAAAATCAACTAAAATCAACAGGTTTCCTTCTGCTGATTTCAATGAGTTTTAAATATTTCATTGGGTGTATTTACTTCATGATATGCAGATTCTTAGATTTTTCTGTTTTCTAATTATTGTAGTAAAAGTGATTGAATCACACGTGCCAAGCACATGCTTCTTGTACACCACTTGCTAATGTCTTTGTGGTAAACCCACTGTTCACCCTACCTTTGCCGCCACAGATGAGTTGGGCTTCTCCAGCAGGTCCCAGAGCTTCTTCCTTTTCTCTGGGCAGCAGGTATTGTCAAACTCTTCCCCTTCTCTCTCCCGCATGGTCTCTGCCTCTCTTCTCAGCTCCTCATTCATCTGCTCTTTCTTTTGATGGTATCTCGCCTGGCAGCAAGATTCTAGATATATCTCATCAATCCCCCAGTAATCAAGCTCTTGGCCAAAAGAAAGAGCACACATTTCTTCCATCATGTGTAATTTCCCTGTCCTGTAGAAATTCAAAATGGAAGTGAAAGCCCCCGGATGTCGATCAAAAAAATATTCATTTTCATTTAGGTTATAGTCATCACATACTTCCAGCAGAGATTCATGAGTATTGCAGTCTCTTAGCTTTCCTAAGCGTGTCCTTGGAAGTCTATCCAAAGTCCTCCAGAGCACTTCGTGGTTAAGTCCACCTACATTTATTTTAACTCTCCGTGAGCAGGCCTTGCTCCTAATGATCTCTACTGGTTCTGGAGGCAGAGAAAGGGTGGATCTTGAAGACTTCTTGTTCATCCCTGGGGGAGCCTTCTCAGCCATTCTGGAAAAGATGCAGTTGTAAAGCCAGAGTCTTTATGCAGATGAGCTTGGAAATTACAAATACTTGGGAAGAGTCCTCTTCAGATAGACAGACCCATTCCTGAAGCTGTAAAAGACAAAAAAGAAAAAAAAAAATAGAATCCTGCAGCAAACAACATATTCTCAACACTATATATTTTTTTAAGATTCTCTCTCCCTACTTCATATGGAGATGAAAACCTAATGATGGTAATTTGCGCACTGTAAAGTCAGACTCTTTTGTAGTACTGTAAGAACCACTGTAAAAACTGGTATGGCTAGGAGTGTTATGCTTAGGAAAAGCAGAAAAAAATCACTGGCACTTCTGAATTCACAAAAATCAAATATGACAGCTTATATAGAAGACTTATTTGTGTTTTTGTTTGTTCTTTTTTATCAGTCATGTCAGCTAAATCCTATTACTTACCAATTCATTTGCGAGGTAGACTAATGATAACACTGTAGGGATATCCACAAGATGAAAGTGCAACCCGGGCTACCTTCCATTTATTGAAAATCTCAAATTTGGGAGATTTGTTCTGAACCTGAATGAAACAATTAGAGCAGATCAAAATCTCCTGCAAAACCAAGCTATTTGCCTTTGCCTTCCATTCCAAATCTAATTTTACTCCATTATTTCACAGACAAACACTGCTGAGCAAACAATTTAACTTGCCTTCATGACAAGTCAAATTTTCCAGCACCAGCCACTGCTGATTTCTTCACAAACAGGTCAAAAGATTTCTAATTCTTCTGCATCCAATTGAGCCGTCCTATGTATTACATAAGCAAGGACTGTGCAGTCCATCCTCCAGCTCCTCCAAAAGGCTCTTCGCCCTCCTATTTGTTTACCTGTTAAGTTGCTACAGGAAGCTGATTGCGTGACAGCAACCGACCATCTCAGTTAATAATCCACAAGATCATCCTCACCCACTGTGCCTCGTGCTTTAGAGAACTCTTAAAGYGCAGCAATTCATCAACACATTCCAAACACCTGTATCTACAGGAAGGAGACGCCTCCACCACCTCTACAGCGGTCAYTTACATGACACAAGTGCTTAAATGATGTCCTAGCAACAGGAAAAGGACCCAAAGGGGGAATACTAATAAAGTTTCTCTTATGATATAGTAAAGTTCTCCTTGGTAATTTCCGCCGTTCAAGCACTGACCTGTTCCTCATGCCATTCTCAATAAGTAAACTCTCAACTCTCTACACTTTCATTTGATGTGAAATGTCTTCAMTTATCTTTTTAATAGCATTTCTGCAAACAAGAGCAAGAATATGATCCCATCCACAGAGTAAGCATGAAGGCTGTGATGAGATAGGCTTGTTACCCATAAATACATCAGGAATGGAGAACTACTTGTATTAGACCACGATGGCACAAGAATAAATGGCTACAAATCCACCATGAAAGAAAAGTGGAAATATCAGACGGGAATTATAAGGTTGCTAAGACCAGATCCTTGCCAGAGCAGTGAGGATCCAGAACAGTGATCTACTAAAACTATGCAGAAAAAAACAATGAATTATTTCAAGGGGAATTTGCTTACAACAGGGTTGCCCATATTCCTGGTATAAAATCAAAAATACTAAACCTCATTATTCCTGAACCTCAGAAAGTTTCCTCCACCACAGATGAAATAACAATAAAGCTGATTCCCCTAAGATACAGGTATTGACAGACTTCCAAAACATTAGGGAAAATGAAAGATTCCTATAAAATTACCCTCCAGACTAATACTTAATTTATATAGACATTTACAGATTTTTTATCGAGTGTGGAATTCACTGTCTTGTTAATCTCCATATTGACAACAACCCCAAACTCCACCTTGTTAGCAGTTTCACTGTCAAGCTCAGCCTACTTCAAAAACACAGGGACCATAAAGATTTTTCTGCTTCTCACTCTTCTTCCCGCCCTGCACTGTGAATCTCACTCCTCATCTTCCAGTGCAACTCTGAGCAGCTCTGTGCCTATTTACATAAGAGTTTAAGCCTGTAACATTTACCTTCATTCATGAAAAAGATAATCTGATAACTTCACTTGCAAAAATAAATCTCCTATCACAATGAAGCTGGCTGGCAGGAATTAACCCCACAATCCTCGCACGCGATCTCATTCAGAACAAAAACGTAGCATCTGCTCTTGCACATCTCAGCGGAAGGAAGGACTTGGTGCTTTGGTGCAAGGTCTGTTTGCTTAAGAATCTCCTAAACTTCTGGGATGTTTTTATCAGTCTTCTGAAACAGAGATAATCACATAATTACTAATCAGTTACAAGTGGCTATTTGTCCATTTGTCCTCAGAAGAATATTTACAGCCCTTTTGCAAAAAATAACCTTTCAGATTTTAATATGCAAAAGTAATTCTCTTTTACAGCCTGTCTTGCGTAATAAAAATATGAATTTTAGGAAAGTCGTAGTGATTTGTCCATAAAATCAATTGTGTCTTCAGGCAAAATCTACAGAAGTTCATGAGTTTATTCACTACTGAATTTCAGGGATTCCTTCTCCTTTCTTGCTAGTGTGCTCCCTGGTAATAGCAATATTGAGCAAAACACAACAGAAACCAAGAAGCTGATCTGATTGATTAATCTTAGGTTAACCATACCCTCATTTGCTTTTCTGATTACAAAAACTAAATACATGTAAGACTACACATTGCATGTAATTACCAGACAGAATCATTAAACAATGCTAAATTGCACTGTCACCAGTGCTGGCCTACAACTGATAAAAGAGTTTTTGACTTGACAGCATAATTATTGGTTGCATCTTCCTACTTCAGGAACTGTGGCTTTTATTATTAAAAAAAAAAAAAAAAAAAAAAAAAAAAAAGCTTTAAAAATCCTGATTAACTGTGGTGACGCTGAAGTCAGCAGCGAAACACCATTAAGCTTAGCATAGGGAGGACTGTGCCCAAGACGTCCAGTGTCCACCTTTGCCACTCTTCACAGTGTGTGGCCCTCGGAAAAGATCAAAAACAAAAAAAAACTTCTTCCCAAATGAAAAACTCTGAAAAGTGAAGTCTGTATTTGCCTTGTTTACAGTACTTCCTCACTGAAATACACAGAAGTAATAAACTAAGTACTGATTAAAAAACTCTTTTTAGTCTACTTTAGTCCTATAGCTTTTCTGTTCCATCTCTAACTGTGCCTACAACACAAAGGTAAACAATAGCCTCTACTTTAGCTATGTAACATTTAGCCTCTACTTTAGCTATGTAACATTTTTAAATTCACAATCTGCATTTTAAATTTCACACAAAACCACCGCAGATCTTTCACTATAAAAAATCATGAAACCAAGGTTACCTTTTCAATTCATTAAATGACTGTTCTGGCCTTCAGCTACYGCAACCAAAGTCTTCAGATACTGCAATTTTTGTGCTGAAAAGGCTTGAATTACTTCTTTCCTTTTTGTTTATTGCCTCAACCTTTTGGCTGTGTGTGATTCTACCACACTGCTATTGCACTTGGGAAAGTGAGAAATGAGCTATTCCTCATTAAGAAGGCAATGCCAGCCTATTGCTCACCAGCATTGTTTAGCAATCAGTTGAGGAAGGCATAAATTCTAACTATAAATACAGATATAGAGCAACTCCTGACAGCAGTTTTGTTTCCTTGCAATGCTAAAATGCTTTTGCAGGAAAATACCTGCACTATTGAATAAAGCCCCCCCAATCAAAGTCCATGCTTTGCATTAAATAAACGTTAAAGCTGTAAAGACTACCAGTCCAAAAGTCAGGAAAAGCCAGAATGAGGGTTAGGTTTCTCCCTTCCACCACATGCATTGAGTTTTTAATGATGTGAACGGATGGATAATGTTTTATCATTTCTTCTCATCTTTCTCATTTCACATTTGGCCTCTGATATTACTTAGTATGCCCTACTGCAAACTCAATATGACTTTCAAAGATATGAATTCTCCTCGCCATGCTCTCACTCTCCTATCTGAGCGTTTCCAGGGTATCTGAGAATTTATCTTCTCAACAACATCAGTGTGAGTATATTATAAGAAATATTTTATAATGGAAAAATGAAGGTCACAAATGCTAGAAGACACCCCTATTTTTGACTAGTCACATTGAGATACTGATGCAGATAGTCAGTTCTTAGTGTTTTTGTCACTTTTGATGGGGACATCCCTGCAAGCTGATCACAGGCTGCCAGGGAGCGCACGCAGGCGGTGCCATTCTATCCCCTCTGCTGCTAGGGCGGCCCAATTAGGACTCTCCCAAATAATTTGCAGGCACGGCTGGAGGGCGAGGGTATTCCAAGGTCTGTCCCAGGGAGCAGTTTGTGAGCAGCCATCTGCCAGGAGGTTTCACAGCACGGATGGGGGTCGCGGTGCCGGCTGGCCCGAGCAGCACCAAGGCCGGCCCAAAGGTGCGGAGCATCGCTCCACACCCACGCGCGGCCACGCAGGGGAATTCAGCATCTGCCCAAATCCTAACCCTCTGCAGCTCAGCCTCGTGCCCAGAATAAAGAGAATAATAATTCGTTAATGCTTCCAAAAAGTTTGGTAGAAYTGAGTTGTTGAGTAATGGGCAGGTTCAGCAGGAATCCAGTTCCCCAGGGGACCTGCTTTAGCCATAAACTCCTCTGTCTCTCAGCACCATGAGAGGCCTCAGTGCCTCACGCCCATTGCATTTGCTCAAAGCCAATAATCTGGGATAGAACAAATTAATGAAGACAAGACAGAGCAACTAAGTTATGACAAACTAACACAATTCTAATGACCACGTGCAAGCAAATGCCAAGAGTCTTATAAGCAGGCACATTGAATTGTATCATCTAGAGGATTCTGCTTTTTTCCACTTTTGCTTTACTGTAACAGCTCTGCTATCACATGACAACTATCAGATTTCCCTCCTTTGCTTCCAAGTATGAAGAGCAGCAATTCCTTAATGAAACACCTGTGGGTTCTTTATTAATAGTGTTTCCCTTAATTTTAATCTTTAAAAAAATAGCTGAGCTGATGTAGCTAAAACTCTGAAGGAAAACACCCCACTAGAATGASGTATCTGTTATTTCCATTTCCCAGACTTACAAAAGTCCCACCTCATGCAGCTAAAAATTCTGGCAAAGCTGTAAACAGCCAAAGGCTGGAAAGCATCAGGAAACATATGAAGACACAGTATTTTTTAGCGTTGTTTGTGTTTCCCAGATGCATATCCAATGTAGGAACACACACGAGCAAGCACAGGAGAGAAAAAGCAGTTAAGCCCTGATTGTCTAAATTACCTTTGATGGCTGTGTCTGCACTTAGGCTTAAGCCCTCACAACCGAGCGGCTCAAACCGCCTGAAGCCGAGTGACCTGAAGGAGTGGAGCAGAGTTCAAGCCCATCTCCTCTGTGCTGGGGTTTCCCTGTGCAAACAGGTTGGCTCATCCTGGACCACAACCCAGGCAAGACATGGAGAAGCAGGAAGGAAACTGGGGAGCTCCTTCCACAAGCTACGATGCAATTGTTGCTGTGGCCTCGAGAACTCTGCGTATGGCTACTTGACAAGCTAACCTAGGGGTTGAAAGACTTTGCTTTGAGAATAATTCTGCAAAACCAGCTCTGGGACATTATTATGGCTGCTAGTCTGAAATTATGATTATTTCCATTTTGAAACTGATCTCACAGATGGCTTATTCCTCATATTCGAACAATCACTGCCCAAAGTTCCAGAAATTGTCAGGAAACACTTGAGAGTAGGTGCTCTTATAAAGACACCTTTCAAATCACTCGTATCAGTCTGTTAGGTAGATGCATGCTATCATCCTCTTGAGCACAGAAACATCTCTGCTGGATGTGCTGGACTTCACCAAGGAGCAGCACGCTCAGAAGCTTTGGACATTCCTTAACAACCTTGTATAAGAGAAGCCATACAGAAATAGTTAAGGAGCCAGAAGACAACGA